CGGATAAGAAAGCTGTCGGATGGTACAGACCAATCGCAGAGAGACGAGCTGCTGACCAACAGTACTGGCCGTCCAAGGGGGCGTCCATGCCAGCTTGTGGCAAACTTTCAACAGGTACGCAAACGGCTACCAGAGCTATGAGATGGATATACCTACTCTTCGCTTGTTCGCTTGGTGGCATTCGTAGAGGAAGTACCCGATGGTACACACAAGGCATAAAACAGGTATCTAGGGTTCCTCGATAGCGTAATGACTGTTATAGCCTGTCGCTGGCTTTGTCCAGAGCCATGCTGAGGGCCGGAGAAAGGAGGTGAGAGGGAGACAAGGCGAGAGGGAGAACAGGGAGGACAGGGAACGATGGAAAGATGGATAAAGGGAAAGAGGAGAAACGGGAAAAGGGGGGATATGTGGGAGGGGGGCAAGGCGGCAACCCCTGCTCCCTGCCCCCACAAATTCCAGTCGACGAGGCTCACGTCCTCCGGATCGGATCCATGCCCGCATTCGCCCAGCATCTGGTTGATGGTGACAGTGTCAGCCTCGGAGCGCACTCGGCAGGGGAGCAGGAAGGAGGGCGGACTGGGAGGGGAAGGAGGAAATGCAGGGGGAGACGAAGCAGGAGTGGCAAGGGGGGAAAGCGGAGGGAGGAACCGGGCGAGAAGGAAGGGGGGAGGGAAGGGGAGGGCGGGAGAAGGAAAGGGGGGAAGGAGAGGAAGACATGAATAGGGGAGGAAAGAGGGAAAAGGGAGGGGGAGAAACAGAGAGTGAAATGGTAAGGGGAAGACAGGGGGGGCGAGGAGAAAGAGGACAGCAGAATAAAGGGGGCGAAACAAAGCGAACGAAATGGAGAGAGCGCCAGATACAGGAGACCGTCGTCCCATAAGGATGGGCGATGAAGTGGCGGGCGCCATGGGGGAGGCCACGAAAACGCCCCTTCACCTTCCCTCCATCATCCTCTCCCTCCATTGCCATTATCATTAGCCCTCCTCCTCCTCCTCCTCCTGCTTCTCCTCCTCCTCCTCCTCCTGCTCCTCCTCCTCCTCCTCCTCCTCCTCCCTCTCATCATCATCATCATCATCATCATCATCATCATCATCATCATCATCATCATCATCATCATCATCATCATCATCATCATCATCATCATCATCATCATCATCATCATCATCATCATCGTCATCGTCATCGTCATCATCATCATCATCATCACCATCATCATCATCCAGCCATCATCATCATCATCACCATCACCATCACCATCACCATCACCATCATCATCATATCATATCATCATTATATCATCATATCATCATCATCCTCATCACCATCAGCATCATAATCATCATCAGCAGCAGCATCACCATCATCACCATCACCATCACCATCACCGTCATCATCACCACCATCCTCCTCATCTTGGTCGTTGTCTCCGCCACCACCGCCGTCAGCGTCGTCATCGGTGTCGTCGGCGCCGTCGTCGTCGTCGTTCCGCATCATCCACCACATCAATCATCATCACCTCAATCATCAACACACTAATCATGTTGATCAGCCTCAGCACCATCATTATTATCGCCATCATTAACGTTATGTTACTCGTTATGGCCACAACCATAGCATCACCACCACCATCATCAAAATGGGACGTCGCCCTAATTCTAAGCTGTGGTACCTACCCCCAACGGTGACCCGTGTTTTCAGCTGCGATCGCCATAACGCCCACACCGATTCCACTTACATCATGCAACTCCTTGGGCCTGGGCACGCACATGCCACTTCGTTATAGATTCGTCACAGTGCTTCGAGGCACGAGTTGGAATATCCCCAGGTCCTTTTGAGCCCTCAGTCCTGTGCCCTGTGCCCTCAACCCCCTCCTGCTGATTTTTCTCGCTCTCAATCCTCCTCCCTCTCTATTGTCCCTTCCTTCCATCCATCCTCTCTTCCGCTGTTTTAGAGGCTGCACCAATTACAACTGGCAGGTGAGGAAGACATACCCCTAAGCGGCACGATCGAAGACGAAGAGGGCAAATATCGAAGGCTTGGGCGATGTACGTGTCGAACCGCTCGACCCACCCGTCAGGGTCCACCCGCCTGACCCGCCCGGTAAGGCCCTGAGTCGCCCCTCGCTGCTTTTCGCCCGTTCCGATGCCCCTCGCTGCCCCTCGCGACACCGCAGTCGGACTTGGAGGCCCCGCCGCTACCTCCGTGGCCTCCTCGACGCCTTTCGTGGCCCCGCCATTCGAGCCCCTCGATGCCGCTCGAGGCCCCGCGGTCGCCGTTCGTAGCCCCCGCGCTGACCTTCGTGGCCCCGATGTAGCTCTTCGTGGCCCTCTCGCTGTCCTTCCTGGCCCGTTTGCAACCCTCGGTGGTCCCCTTCCGTTTTGAGGCTGCGCCAATTACACGTGGCAGGGGAGAACGATATCCCCCTTAAGGGGGGTACGCTTGAAGACAAAACAGGGCGGGCATTCAGGGTACGGAATAAACACCTGCTGATTGACACGCACGCGTATAAGAACAAACAGTGTTAACATGATTGTTATGATGGTGTTGCTGCTGCTGTTGTACCTGTTGTTGCTGATTGTGTTGGTGTCGTTGGTATTAGTGTTACTGTTGTTGTTAAACTCTCGCTCGTTAAAGAGAACTATCCCCCCTCACCAGTGCACATTGTGTTCTTCCCATTGAAGTGTACCCCTCGGGGCTTGCACCCTGTTTTTCTTATGAGGAAACGATTCCTGCTCAAACTGCGTCGTTTGGGCCCGAACTACAACAACAACAATCAGTTTAAGACTGTTCGCTCTTACCTGCTCGCGTGCCGTTCAAAGTGTTTTCCTAATCCCGTGATGCCCGCCTTCTTCGTCTTCGATCGAACCCGCTCTGGGGGGCATATCCTCCTTATCCGCCGCGCGTAATTAGTGCAGCCCCATAGAATGGGGGAGGGGGAAACAGATGCAATAGGGAAGGATGGAGCACGTGATTAACAGGGGGGCTCGGAGCGGAAAACACATGGCCCGAAGCGGAATACACGGCTCCTGCCATTCCGAAATCGCGCTCTCGCGCAGGACTTCCTCACAGCGTATGCAGAATTCGCGCTATCGCATGGCAGACGCCGCGCCCCCGACACTCAAGAATCGCGCTCTCGCTTTACTGTGTCAAATACTTTACTTGGGAATCGCGCTATCGCTTGAGATTTCCTCGCGACTCATGCAGGACTCAAGCTTCAGCAACCCGTCCTCTCGACCTGGCCGTCTGGGCCCGCCTTCCCGACCCGCCTGCTAGGGTCTACCCGCCCGATGAGCCCGTCTGCTTCTGTCACGCGTTTTCTGCTCCTAGCCCCCCTCCTGCTATTTCTCTCGTGCTCCATCCTTGTCCCTCCCCCTTTCAATCCGTCCTCTCTTTCCCTGCTTTAGGGGCTGCGCTAAATGAACGTGGCAGGTAAGGAAGATACACCCCCGAAGGGCACAATCGTAGACGGAGAACGCGATTACCGAGGGTTTCGGATATACGTGTTGGCATGGCACGCGAGCAGAGAAGTGCGAACAGTCTTCAAATGATGTGGGTTGGTGTTGCTGCTGTTGCTGCTGATGTCGTCGTCGTCGTTGTTGTTGATGTTGCTGTTGTTGCTGCAGTTGCAAACGTTGTTGCTTTGTTGTTGGACTCTAACTCTGGGAAAAACAGTATTGCTGCCCCCCCTCTCACAAATGCATATATACATATATACATCTATATCAATTGAACCGCCCCTCTCGGGGCTTGCACCCTGTTCAAACTCCTCAAACTTCGTTGTTGAAGGGCCCCGAGCTACAACAACAGCAAAAACAAAAACAAAAATCTGTTTAAGACTGTTCGCTTTCACCTGTACGCGGGCCATTCAAAACGTTTACCCCAAGCCCTCGATACCCGCCCTCTTCGTCTTCGATCGAACCCCTTCTGGGGCAGATCCCCCTGGCATACCACGCATGATTAGTGAAGCCTCTAAAAACGTCCCCATACTACGGTTTGACTGTTGTTGAATATTCCTCCAGTGGAAGGACAAACCCGATTTCAGGCTCGCAGCAGAAAACACGTGGCAAAACCAGACGGGCTGATCGGGCGGGTAGACGGTAGACCCTAACGGGCGGGTCGGGAAGGCGGGCCCAAGAGTCCAGGTCGAGCAGGCGACTTGCTGAAGCGTGAGTACGTGAGTACTGCATGAATCGCGAGGAGGTCTCAAGCGACAGCGCGACTCCCGAATGAATCGCGAAAAAACCAAAGCGAGAGCGCGATTCCTGAACGTCGAGAGCGCGGCGTTTGAATAAATTGCAAGGATGTACCACGCGACAGCGCGATGCTTGCATACATCGTGAAGAAGTTCCGAGCGAGAGAACGATTTTGGAACACCTTCTGAGGAAGTATCCGGGGGGAAACCGTTGTCGCTAGAGCTGGGGGGCCAGGGGCACAGTTCGGACCTCAAGACTTTCCCTGATAAAAACAGGGTGCGAGCCCCGGGAGGGCACTTCAATTGAAAAATAGAAGGGGATCAATTATAATGATGTTTCGGAAGTGGTAGTTCAGAGGCTCCCGCCTGATACATCCTTACAACATGTTCCAATAGCTTTCGCGCGGGACTTCTTCACAACTTACGCAGGATTCGCGTTTTCGCGTGGGACCTCCTTGCAATGATTCAGACGCCGCGCCCTCGACACTCAGAAATCACGCTCTCGCTTTGGTTTTTCTCACGATTTCCTTCGGACTCGCGCTATCGCTCGAGACTTCCTCGTGATTCGAGCAGGACTCACACTTCAGCAACCCGCCCTCTCGACCTGGCCGTCTGGGCCCGCATTCCCGACCCGCCTGCTAGGGTCTGCCCGCCCGATCAGCCCGTCTGGTTCTGCCACGTGCTTTCTGTTTTTAGCTGCCCTCAGGTTAATGTCCCTCGTGCTCCATCCTTTGTCCTCCCCTCTCCATTCGTCCTCTCTTCCCATGTTTTAATGGCTGCGCCAAATGCACGTGGCAGGCAAGTAAGATACACAATCGACCCGTATCATAGAAATGCGCGATAAGGATGCAAGGCCATTGGAAGGCCATGTCGAAGTTGTTCGAACGGGGCAGCGCCAAAGAAAGCGGCCAAGGATAAGACGAGGAGGCAAGGATGCAAGGGTACCCTTGGGAAGGCTGCCCATCCTTGTTTTGCAAGTTGCCTGAACCCCCAAAGGGTACGATCGAAGACGAAAAAGTCGGGTACCGAGGGCTTGGGATATACGTGTTGAACTGCGCGCGAACACTTAGGACCAAACAACCTTAAAAGAACACTTGTTGTTGCTGTTATTGCTGTTGAATTCTCACTTCTAGAGAACAATGATCGTGGATCCCACCTCCGTTAACCATTGTATTGTTTGAATTGAAATGAATATCCCCGGGTTCGCACCCTGTGTTTCACAGAAAGGAAAGCGAGGTGTCACCAAACTGTGCCCCTGGCCACTTAACAACCACAGCAGCAAAACGACAACAACAATCAATGTAAGACTGCTCGCTCTTCCCTGCTCGTGTGCCACACAACACG